TCTCGTCAACATCAGATGAGGCACACAATCCATCGGGGTTTTCTGTTCAAAAACATAGTAATAACTTTGTAGTTAGCAATATAGTTTAGTTTTAGAAGAATTTATGCAAAAGATGCACGGATGTCGTAATAGTAGAAAATCTTACCATGATATCTCCATTGATGTTACCGTAGTTCAACACGTGCACTAGTAGCACGTATTGACCATAATGTGGAGGAGTTTGATAATAGCTATTGTAATTCTCAATATCAGTAAAAAATGCGATAAGACCATCTTGCTCCTTATAAGTTAATTGTGCTTCATCATTGTAGTAGTAGGTTCTGTCTAGCATTTTCCGTACATTTTTTGAAGAATGAAAATAAGCTGTCAATGAAAATAAACTGTCAAATATTTTGAAATAAACAATATAAGTTACTTAGTAAATATGTTTAAAAAACTCACACAGCGGTAGAACTGGAAGCGTGTCAACAAGGACCCAAATGGTCATATCATTTTCGTTGATGTCAGGATCACCAAGATCGAAGGTGAGAAGCATACCCTCATGAAAATCATATGCCTTGCAAAGGGCTTCCCAATTCAGGCAACCAAAATTGGATGAGTTCACAGAATTGTATAGATTTACAGCAAAATCATAACCATGATAGGTCCTTTGTTGAATTATCTTTGTCTCCATTCTTTCACGATCTTCAAAATCCATCTTCTCCAAGACATAGCGTCTTGCATGGCATGGGATAAGCTAGTCGAATTGTAAAAGGCAGAAATTACACGTTGAAGAAGCAGAGAAGTCGTGCAAAAAATAACAAAAAACACTTGTCGTCGTTGTGTACCGTTTTAACATCGAAGGTCTCTTGGAGCTTGATGCTGAAGCGCCGACCTTCTACCAAGTGAGGCCTGTCGCACAGACCGCGCTTATCTTCGCAGTACTCGCATATAGTGAATTCCCTTTCATCGTCGGACATTTCCTAATAGGTAATTAATAATCCATCATCGAATACATATATAGTAGTTTGTAGCAAAAATCATCATGTAACAACTAAAACACCTAAAATTTGTAGTTTGTAGTAGTTTGTAGCAAAGATCATCATATAATCCATCATGAATACATATATAGTAGTTTGTAGCACAAACGGCGCTCATCTTTTGCATTCAATAAGCAAATAACTAATAGGTAATTAATAATCCATCATCGAATACATATATAGTAGTTTGTAGCAAAGATCATCATATAATATCACTAATACATCTCGAATAATAGCTCCTCTAGGTTCAGGGGGCCGTGGTGTACACCCAAAGAGAAGGAACCATCACCAGATCATAGCTCCGGTGAGATCCCCAAATAATCTGCCAGGTATTCGAGAACCGGCTGTTCGCCAATGCAACCAAGTAGCGCTGGACGTGCGCGTTCTCCTCCATGACACGGTGTTGTACCACCTGCGCGGGGGACTCAAGCCTCTCCGCCGATGCAGGCCCACGTGACTGCCACCAAAGAAGCTCCGGGTCGACGACGGGCTGGCTCCTCACTAAGCTACACTCACCAGAAGGTAGCACAACACAGTACCAGCCCGACGGAGCCCAGTCCCGGACATGGCCCCTCGGCTGAACCAGGAGTCCTCCGCCGAGTCGACGATGAGGATGCGGGATAGGCATCGTCGACGTCAAGAACTAAATGCTTAATTATGAAAACAAAATTAATAAACACTTAGCAAAATTTGGCATGACCTTTGCTAAAAATAGGACATATCGAGCGCCTGAAATTTGCCAGAACGTAAACGAATCGACATTTCTGGCAAAACATAGGCCACTCAGAAAAATATGACATGTCCAAAATGTGACATGTTCCAAATATGACATGTCCACTGCAAATTTACATATAACAGGAAAAATTGCTTTAACTAAAAAAATAACAACAATTGCTTTAACTAAAAAATACCTACAATTCTGTTAACTACACCTAAAACAACTAAAACACCTAAAATTCTGTTAACTACACCTAAAACAACTAAAACACCTAAATTCTATTAACTACACCTAATTAAAAACCTAGCTAAATTTCTGTCCTAACTTTAAAAGCTAGCTAAATTTAAAAACCTAGGGTTCATACGAATTAACTAGGGTTCATACCTAATTATTCTAATAACCTACATTTTTTCAACTACATAGGATTCAAAATAACTACTCTAATAACTATAACTAGCTAGGGGGAGGGAGGAGGAGGAATGAGATGGAGGAGTACCTCTCGGTACGGTGGAGGAGGGCCAGCGCAGGAGGAGAGCCGGTGCGGGAGGCGGGGCGGCCGACGAGGGAGGAGGCCGACGCGGGGGCGGGCGGCCAACGAGGAGGGCCGGCGTGGGCGAGGGCGGCCGAAGCAGCAGGGAGGAGGGCCGGCCAGGGGGACGGCAGCGTACGGGTCGACGGCGGCGCGTGGGGGATTGAGAGGGAGGAGTGTGGAGAGTGTGAGTGAGCTTTAGTGAGAGATGAGGCAGGCCGGGCCGGGGGTGCGCGGGGGAAGGGGGAGTGGGCTTAACAACAGCGCGGGCAATGGGCCAGCGCTACTGCTAAGCCCACTAGCTGTAGCGCTGGCGCAAAACACACGCTACAGCTAAGTGGCCTGCCCTTTGGCCCCGGCGGCCCGCTAAACAGCAGCGCGGCGCGCTCCAACCAGCGTTGCTACTACTCACTAGCAGTAGTGCCCGTTCTGGCCGGCGCTACTGGTAAATACCAGTAGCGTGTGTGCCCAAACAGGCGCTACTGCTAAAATTCTATGTATAAGCATTTTCCTAGTAGTGGTGGGATACCCGTGGTGACAATGGGGTATTCTATTGATCCACTTGATGTATGTTTTGGTGATCAACTTGCGGGTTTCACCTATGAACCTATGCATAGAGGTTGGCACACGTTTTTGTCTTGACTCTCCGGTACGAACTTTGGGGCACTCTTTGAAGTTCTTTGTGTTGGTTGAATAGATGAATATGAGATTGTGTGATGCATATCGTATAATCAAACCCACAGATACTTGAGGTGACATTGGAGTATCTAGGTGACATTAGGGTTTTGGTTGATTTGTCTCTTAAGGTGTTATTTTTGTATGAACTCTATGATAAATTGAATGGAAAGAATAGCTTCATGTTATTTTACTACGGACTCTTGAATAGATCGATCAGAAAGGATAACTTTGATGTTGTTTCGTACCCTACCATAATCTCTTTGTTTGTTCTCCGCTATTAGTGACTTTGCAATGACTCTTTGTTGCATGTTTATGGATAGTTATGTGATCCAATTATGTTATTATTGTTGAGAGAACTTGCATTAGTGAAAGTATGAACCCTAGGCCTTGTTTCAACGCATTGCAATACTGTTTACGCCCACTTTTATCATTAGTTACCTTGCTGTTTTTATATTTTCAGATTACAAAAACTATTATCTACTATCCATATTGCACTTGTATCACCATCTCTTCGCCGAACTAGTGCACCTATACAATTTACCATTGTATTGGGTGTGTTGGGGACACAAGAGACTCTTTGTTATTTGGTTGCAGGCTTGTTTGAGAGAGACCATCTTCATCCTAGGCCTTCTATGGATTGATAAACCTTAGGTCATTCACTTGAGGGAAATTTGCTACTGTCCTACAAACCTCTGCACTTGGAGGCCCAACAACGTCTACAAGAAGAAGGTTGTGTAGTAGACATCTAGACCTGGACTCCCTATTCTAGCACATGCATGCTCCCTTGGGAGTTTTTCTGTGGCTTTGACTTACCGCGCGCTATGCCATAGGCCAACAATTGAGTGGGCCGCGCCCCTCTGGAAGGCACCTCTCCCTATGAAGATCAAGATTTTCGTGTGGAAACTATTAAGGAATCGCCTCCCATCGGGACGGAGGTGCTCAAGCGGCATGGCCCGGGTAATGAGTTGTGCCCCCTGTGTGGGGTTCCGGAAATAGGGACCCACATCCTCTTCACTTGGACGGCGGCTCAATCGCTTTGGAACTTTGTCCGGGAGGCCCTCGGGCATGATTGGAAGCTTCAAATCTTGCCAGCTTCCTCCAGGCCAGAGCGACGCATGCTAGAAGGAACCGACGCCTCTTCTAGCTAGTTTTTGTTGCGATATCTTGGACGCTTTAGACGACGCGTAATAAGATGGTGATTGAGCGGGTCTTTCTGCAACGGGACTCTGACTCTTTCTTCAATTTTCTTACGTTCTTGCAACATTGGACCCGTTGGCTAGGCAACGGGACCGGGGCCATCTGGGACAGATGCTTGATGCACTACATGACTCGGCACATCGTCTAGGCTCCCGGGCAGCTCTATGATGTTATGGCCACTTGGTGGTCTTTTTCATGCTTTTCTCTTCTGTTTTATTTGGGCTTGCTTGTGTTGTGGCCCGAACAGACTTTTATGTCAGTGAGTTGCTACTCCATGTACGGACTAGTTGGTTGCTTTATCTATAAAGTAGGGCGAAAGGCTATTTCAAAAAAAACTATCTTAAACCGGCGCTAGATTTTTGGTTAGAGCGTTGTTATATCTTATTATGCTTCTGATCAAATCTGGGCTTCTTTCAGGCCTTCTCTATTAAGTAATACTACAACAGACAAAAAATAATTGTTAGCTCGAGAAAGAAATTTGTCCAGAGAGCATAATGTAGCCAGAACATAAGAACTCTCTCTAGTGATGCACAAATCCAAACACAAATAGGATCCAATATAAAAACTCCGAAGACCAAAACATATTTATCCATGTACATATCATATACATCATGCATACACACGTAAAGGGACGTAGGCAACAGATTGAGCAGTTGCGCCATGGAACACCACTCAGACATAATGCTGTCGTCAGGAACTGAAGCGCCGAACATGTACAACACACACACACACATGTATAGTAGTACTTACATACTCTAACAATCACACACACAGGAACACACGCGTCGCGTGCGCACACATGTATAGTATATAGTGTAATACTTAGATAATGGGCACTATGCGGATGTAGCTAGTCCGATCATGGCTTGGCCTCAGGATCCGGAAAGTGGAATTCAGGCTTTGGGGGCAGCTCAGCTTTGGGGAACGGTGGCATTTCGTGCTTCGGGACCTCTGGCACAGCAAGGTGCGGTAACTCGGGCTCTTTCGGCACCTCAGGGTGCGACACATGGGGCTCCTTTGGCACCTCTGGCACGGCATGGTGTGGCATTTCAGGCTTCGGCAACTCTTGCATGGCAGGGTGCGGCAACTCGTGCTCCTTTGGTACCTCTGGCATGACAGGGTGTGGCGCTTTTGGTTCCTTTGTCACCTCTGGCACGACGGGGTGTGGCACTTCTGGCTCCTTTGGCACCTCCGGCACGATAGGGTGCGGCAGTTCGTGTTCCTTTGGCACCTCCGGTACGACAGGGTGTGGCACTTCGGGCTCCTTTGGCACCTCGGGCACAGCCGGATGCGGTAGTTCGGGCTCCGGGAGCTCGGGCATAACAGGGTGTGGCGGCAGCTCGTGCTTTGGCACCTCCGGCACCACGGGGTGTGGCACTTCAGGCTCCTTTGGCGTCTCCGGCACCACGGGGTGTGGCACTTCGGGCACGAGAGGGTGAGGTAGTTCAGGCTTCGGTAGCTCGGGCATGGCAGGGTGTGGCGGGAGTTGGGGCTTTGGCAGCTCCGGGACGATCGGACGTGGTGGATACTCCTTCTTGGGCACGGCCTCCTTGAGGTACCGTGCTGCGCTGCTCATGGAGCTGCATGAGAGCAGCAGCGCCACGAGGAAGACAAGGGAGGCCATGTTGTTCTTTTGCAGCATGGGCGATCGATGCTGTGTGCTTCTAGTGTGTATCAATGTGCGAGGCAACTTCTTGCTGTGATGGCTGGGAGATAGAAGAAGGCTGGTATTTATAGTCCAAAATGCTGCACCTACATGTGGCGGGCATACATGCATGATTGCATGCATGTTTGCGGTAGAGACTAGTAGTGATCTGGCTGAACTTTGGTGCCTTGGTGGCCTGGTAGGTCACCTGCATCTCGGTGGTTGTTTACTCGCTTCAGCTTTGTGTGTGATCGATCTCTTCCTATCCATCTCTAGTTATGTGTGGTTAGATTAGTTTGGAATGTTGAGGGGACATGTGTGATTACATGATATGGCATTTCTAGCCCTAATTTTTGACCCGAACCTGCAGGGAGTATTTTTTATAGATTCTGTAACAATCGTGGTAATATGTACATGAAAGAGAAAACAAAACTAATGTACAACAATAACACATGGAACTGCTAAATCAGACTATCTGACGGACTGAAACCAATCAACATTTCAAGCTCTCTAATTGTCTGTTGACTGCCCTCTACAAAAAAGGGAAACTGAACATCTACAGCCGAGCACCCCAAAACGGTCTTAAACGCTCAGACGGACGGTCCAATCACTGACCGATCATGAAAATTCGACCCCGACGGGTGCCTCAAACGAGCCTTAAATGTCCAGACTAACCGGTACCTCTCATATCCAGCCCAAATATAAAGCGGATATGGAGGCGTTCGGATGCGTCCGCCACATCGGATTGACGATGAGGTATCACGTGAAAACAATCCAAAACCCGGCGCTCCCAAGCTCGTTTCGTCCATCGGACGGGTGGCTCGCGTGGCGACGCTCCAGCCGGCCGCGTGGTGCCTAGCCCCGCTATTTAAGCCGATCGTCGGCACCAAAACCCTATCTGTCCACATTTTCCCCCTCCTGTCCGCTGCCACCGCCACTTTCCACTCCCCGTCCACCACCACTAGTAGCCATGCCACCACGCCGCCGGATAAGGAGCTACCCTTATCTAACGCCAGAGCGTTAGCTGCAGCTCCTTGAGCAGATCCAGGCAAGGCGCGAAGACTAGATCCCACGAGGCTACCTCCGGATGAAGTGGATCCAGACGAGGACTTGGAGGAGGGGGGCGTGAGGTTGAGGAGGAGCAGGAGGAGGATGTGGGGGGACTTTGGGGACACGGATTTGCAGACGGAGCAGGAGGCCATCTTCGATTCCCTCTACTTAGAGTCGGACGCGGAGGCCAGATGCCGCTGTCGGCGGGAGATGGAGGCGGAGCACACTGCGGAGCAGGAGGAGAAGACCCTCGCCTACATGGAGGAGGTCGAGAAGGAGGAGGAGCCAGAGCCCTCCTGCGCGCCTGTCCACCCGGCGCCCAGTACCGGCGTCGTGGACGACTTCGACGACTAATCATAGCTATGGTGTCATAGTACGTATGTTTATTTTGCATGATTTGTATGGATCTGCGAGGTGTAATATGAGAGCCTCGAATGCAGAGGAACAGATTTAAGACGTGGCTGGTCAAATTCGATTGTAGATGCTCTAAGATTCTACCAGAACCTGCCGTCCAAATGTACTCATATCGATGCATCCCAAACTGCTTTCATGCCGGACAGAAACATCCTAGAAGGGATGGTGGTCCTTCATGAAATGCTCCATCAAATTCACAGGAAAAAGTTAGATGGAGTTGTTTTTAAGGTGGATTTCGAGAAAGCGTACGATAAAGTCAAATGGCCATTCCTTCAACAGGCCTTGCGTATGAAAGGTTTTGATGAAGCCTGGTGACGCCAGGTAGAATCATTCACGCAAAAAGGGAGTGTTGGAATTAAAATGAATGACCACATAGGTCATTATTTTCAGACACATAAGGGCCTGAGACAAAGGGATCCAATGTCTCCTATCTTGTTCAACATTGTAGTTGATATGTTGGCAATTTTGATAGGGAGGGCTAAGGAGGCTGGTCAGGTGGGTGGCTTGATACCTCATCTAGTTGATGGAGGTGTGTCCATCCTTCAGTACGCCGATGATACGATCATCTTTATGGAACATGACTTGGCCAAAGCGAGAAATATGAAGCTGGTGTTATGCTTATTTGAACAATTGACCAGGTTAAAGATTAACTTTCACAAAAGCGAATTGTTCTGCTTTGGTAGAGCCAATGACGAACAAGAGGCATATAGGCAATTGTTTGGGTGCGAATTGGGGACTTTACCTTTTACGTACTTAGGTATACCAATCCACCATCGTAAGCTGACAAACAGAGAATGGAAGTGCATCGAGGACCGCTTTGAAAAAAAACTGAGTTGCTGGAAGGGCAAGCTCATGTCATACGGAGGCCGATTAATTCTGATTAACTCGGTTCTCACGAGTATGCCTGTGTTTCTTTTGTCGTTCTTTGAAGTCCCAGTTGGAGTTAGGAAAAGACTGGACTTCTATCGATCATGATTTTTCTGGCAGAGCGATGAATTAAAAAGAAAATACGACTAGCCAAATGGGATATCATCTGTCGACCGAAAGACTAAGGGGGTCTTGGTATTGAGAATCTTGAGGTCAAGAACAGATGTCTTCTTAGCAAGTGGCTGTGGAAGTTATCGATTGAGACTGATGCCATTTGGGCGCAGATCCTTTGTAGCAAGTATCTTCACTCCAAAACTTTGTCATGGGTGACAGCAAGGCCGACTGACTCACCTTTTTGAAAAGGGCTTATGAAAGTCAAATTAACCTTGTTCAATAGGACAAAGTTTATTATTGGCAACGGTGCCAGTACGCGATTCTGGAGGATACTTAGCTCGGAGAGACCCACCTTGCCGTTCAATACATGTCTCTGTATCGTATTGTTCAATGACGTGAGGCGTTCCTTGCAACGGTACTTCAATCCAATCCCCTTAATATTCAGTTCAGAAGGACGCTAGTTGGCAATCGTTGGAAAGAATGGCTCCATCTAGTAAGTAAACTGATGAAGGTTCAGCTATCTCAACAACCCGATAAATTACGCTGGAAGCTTACTAGGTCTGGAGAGTTTACAGTTAAATGAATGTATGTTGATGTTATCAACTCAAGCTCGATTCCTAGTTCCAAACATGTTTGGGCTGTCAAAGTTCCTTTGAAAATCAAAGTATTTATGTGGTTTGTCCATAAACAAGTAATATTAACCAAGGACAATTTGGTAAAGCGTAATTGGACAGGACCTACTAGGTGTAGTTTCTCTGATCGGGATGAAACCATCAAACACTTTTTTCTTGATTGCCCGTTAGCCAAAAACCTATGACGGACAGTCCATATTGCATTTAATATTACTCCACCGAGTTCTGTTAACACGTTATTTGGAACGTGGCTTAACAGGATAGAGCCCGTAACAGTGAGATATATTCGTGTAGGAGTTTGTGCTTTATTGTGGGTAGTTTGGACTGCATAAATGATTTGGTTTTTAACAAAACAATAAATATTCATTTTTTGCAGCTTATCTTCCAAGCCACTGCGTTGATCCGTATGTGATCGCTACTCACTCCGACGAAGGTCAGAGAGCGTTTGGTTACTGGATCTATTCGCTGTGAGATGATAGCACGGGATATTTTCAACCGGTTTGGATGGGGGTCATGTAATAGGATAGGCAATTAGTTTACCCGTCTCTCTTATGCCAGCCGGTTGTGGCTTTTTATGGCCAGTTTTTTTTTTTTTGCCCTTTTGACTCTTTGTGAGCCCTCCTTTTTTTCGTTTTAAGACTCTAAGACCTTGTTAAACCTATATTTCTTTTTAATAAGATGGCCGTATGCATCGTTCTGTGCAGAGGCCAAAGAATCCCCTTTTCGAGAAAAAAAGACTCATATCGATGCATGCTACTCAACCTACAGCGAACCTGAAGGCAAGTGCTCTTTGGATGATTCGGTAACTGGTCGGTCGGTTCGACAGCTCAGTTGCACCTATCTGGTCGACCCCGGCTGATTTCCTCTTGAAGACGCCATACATCAGTCAGAGTTGGCTGTTTGGTGACACGGATTGGGCTTGCACGCGTTCGCGTAGGAGCTTCCGTCGCCGCACCGCGGTGTCAGGTCACTGGCGCACCAAAAATGCTACACCCAGGAAAAGTTCCTTACTGCACCAGTTGCTTCTGGTTCTGGGTGTCAATTGCCGATGATCGGCAGTTCAACTGCAGCTAGCTGCTCCCGGTAGCAGGTTCCTGTCGTTTTCTCTACCATTGTACTGCGCTAGACGATCGGTTGCGTGCGATTCGGCGAGGCTACCTGATCGATCCTCCTGATCGAAACAGGCCGGGCACCCGTCAGGGCTGGTGGATGAGTTCCGCACGCGTTCGCGTAGGAGCGTCGCCTCGTGCGCGCCGTACCATGCAGGTCACCGGCCGGCCGGCATGCGGTTCACGTAGACGCCGTACCGGCGCCAGCGCACGGTGGCTCTTGTCAGCGACACCGGCCGGCGCAGAGACAGTGAAAGAAGTTGAGCACTTCAGGGTATATTACAGTAGATGGGAATACTGAGGCCAGATGGATGGGCTATTTTTCTTTATATCACATCATGAGCAGACTAATTGAGCTGGTTGGTGGACGTACGCAACGCCATCTCGTGTCCTCGTGTTTATGGTACGATGATGCAGTGAGTGATATCTGACGAAATATATTTGACTTCGCTACGTAGTTCCGAATCGAGTTGAAAGTGACCATTCCATGACGCCTTCCTTTTCATGTTGGCGTGACCATTCCTTAAGCAACTTAAGCTAGCTAACTATTCAAGTTCCAGCTAGCAATATGATAGCTACGTAACAAAAGGATTATATGTTCATGGTGCATTCTCATTTTGTCATATATTACTTATGGGGCCCCTTTTACTCCCCATACAACAATAAGGATTTCCCTGAATGTTTTCGTACAGTTTATGCAATAGAAATAAAAATGGAAATAGTCAAAGATGGTCACTAACTTCATTAACAGATCTTATTGTTTAGACACCAATTAGAGTATTTTTGTTCATCAATTTGGTGAAATATATTTTCTACACTCTCCCGTTCCAAAATATTTGAAGTTCTAAATGTGTCCAAGTTTAGAGAAAAATATATTAACATCTACAAAACCAAACTAAATTCATTAGATTCATCACAAAGTATATTTTCATTTCATAAATATTTGATATTAATCTAGAAAGTAACACACTATTCTATATACTTGGTCAAATTTGAATAGCTTGACTTAGGACAAACCTAGACCTTCAAGTATTTTGGAATGGAGGCAGTAGTATCTGTAATGGGGATTTTGATTTTTATTATGCTGAAATAACTACATGGTGGCATACAAATCCTATTCTTTTGTTCTTTTGACGAAATTAAAATTTGTGTTACACCCAATATTTCTCGCCTCAACTAATATCATCTGGAGGGTGAAAAGTGTCTTCGCGATTCGCATAAACCTGGACTAAAAAAACAAAATAAACAACCAATTGATTTTGTACTACGGCTAAATTAACAGTGCACCCCTTCAAGTATTTGTATGAACTTCTCAAATATTGTTCCAACGTCAACAAACATAAACAACTTATTTTAAAAAGTACGAATAGCAAATATATAGGTGATATTTATGGACATATCTATAGAAAGCTTTTACAACTTTGGCATTTTATATTATTTTAAGTGCTTTTAGGAAGAAACTTATATGTAGATTTGATATTATTTTAAGTATTTTTAGTAGGAAAACCTTGAAAAATCATATATGTAGATATGCCGAAAAGTATTTGAGTGTTATCGATATACTATAGTAGAAATTTTTGGTTAAAGTCGCATCTTGTAGACTGTCAATGTCCTAAAGCATCATTTATGTGTGACCTCAAGGGAGTAATTTGTTTAATACTCCCTCTATAAACTTTTATAAGACGTTTTTTAACAATGGTCTAGAAAAAGTAGGCCAGACCTGCAACACATGCTAATGCTACTTCGCTTCTCAGCCAAAAAAAACTATCATAAACCGTTGCTAGCTTTTGGTTGGAGACTTTTTTTTTCAACAAGTGGTTCCAGAATGTTATCGTATTATGCTTCCAATCAAACCTTGGTTTCCAGGCCTTCTCTACGAATAAAAAGACAAAAGCAAGGTAATTGTCCAGTAAAAGAAATTTGTTCGAAGCACATAATGTAGCCAAAACATAACTCTTTAGTCATGCACATATGTAAATTAAAACACAACTCCAATATTAAAACTCTAAACATGAAACATATTTATTCATGTGTAGATATCATATATATATATATATACATCGTGCATACAGGCAAAGTGGAGTAGGGAATATGTTGAGAAGCTAAACCATGCAACACCACTCAGACGTAACGCTCCCGTCGGGAATTAGAGCGCAAGCTCTAAAGGCATCTCTAGCCGCGCCCCTAACATGCCCTCCCAAGCGATTTTGCCGCGCCGGCGCCAAAAAAACGGCCCAGTCGTGCCCCCAGAAGCCCGTTTTTCGCCGGCTCGGGCCAAAACTGATGCCGGCGGACCCAGGCCGAATCCGGGGCCCTGGGGGGCGCTTGGGGAGCCGGCACAAGCGAAAAAGGCGCGTGGGCCCGCCCTGGCGGCGACCCGAGGGCCTTTTCCCACCGCTTCTTGACGCTTTTCCCTCGCAACTCTTTCGCTCGCTCGCCTTCCTCCCGCCATTCCCACCCTTTCTCCCATCAAACCCCCTCCAGCTCGCCTTCCAGTCGCCGCCATGCCGCCGAAGAAGTACGCCATGCCGCGCGCGGCGGCAACCACGACTAGCACCGTGGCCCAGCCGAAGCAGAGGAAGCCGAGGGCGCCGCCATCGAAGCCATTGGGCATGTCGAACGCCGAGTGGAGGGTGGAAGTTCAGCGACGCGACGCAGTCACCACCGACTCCGGACGCGTCAGAGGGGCGGCCGGACGGCCACAAATTGGCAAAGAAGGGGAAAAATGCCGACGCGGCAACCGCGCGAGTGCAGGGGTCCATCGAGCATTGCCTCGCCGACGCCCAGGCCCGGGCCGTCCTACGTGAAGAGAAGACCGAGGCGCGGTGGTCGTCGCTGATGAAGAACAGCGCCATCAAGCTCGACCTGCTCCGGACGAACGTCGCCGCGAAGAAGAGGAACACCGACATGGCTTTTCTGATGGGCGGGGCGGACATGCTCCAGAGCAACGACGAGCAGCTCAGGGCGTGGTACATGGCGGAGCGCGGCCTTATCCTGAACCAGATGCAGACGGCAACGCCGACGACGCCGACGACGCAAGCTCCCGTGCCCACGACCACACGGACGCCAAGCCCGAACGACGCCTCTACATCACCGCCCAGCAGTGCCGAAGCCGCGCCGACACAGCCCAGCACCGAAGCAGTTCTGACACCGCCGAGCCCGCGCATGCCGACTCCGCCAATGCCTGGAGCCGACCCGCCGAGTGAATCATTGCGCACGCGAACTTGCGGCGTGCGGCGCTCTGTTTTTTGTAACGCCAGACTACGTCCGATCGCTGGATTTGTGGCGTTTTTTGAGAGCGGGAACGACCAAGTTTAAATTTCCCGCATCCTGAGGTCGGTGCTTGGGGGCGTGACTGGGAGCTAGGTCGCCCCCAGGGGCCGAACTAGCGCCGGCACGCCCCCAGGCCGCTCTATTTAGGCGCCCTGGGGGCGAACGGCTGGAGATGCCCTAACAACATGTACAACACAAACATGCAAATAAGGGAAAACTTTGTTTTTGCCACTTTAGTTTTTGCCAACTTTGCTTAAGCCACTCTAGAATTTGACATTTCACTTTTGCCATTCTTAGAGACAATATATCACTTTTGTCATTCCGTGGCAAAAGCAAAAAAATTAGAGTGGCAATTGTGATACATGTCAAAAGCTAAGAGTGGCAAAAGTGAAATGAAAAATTATCGTTTTTGCCACGAAATGGCATTTGTGATGTATTGTCAAAAGCTAAAAGTGACAAAAATGAGATGTCAAATTCTAGAGTGGCATAAGCAAAGTTGGCAAAAACTAGAGTGGCAAAAATAAAGTTTTCCCTGCAAATAAGTCTATAACAATCTCTCTCTCTCTTTCACACACACACATGTATAGTCTATAGTTTTAATACTTAGATAACGGGCACTACGCGGATGTAGCTAGTCCTATCATGGCTTGGCCGCTGGCTCCGGAAAGTGGAAATTGGGCTTCGGAGGCAGCTCGGCTTTGGGGAACGGCGGCATTTCGTGCTTCGGGACCTCTGGCACAACAGGGTGCGGTAACTCGGGCTCTTTCGGCACCCCAGGCACGGCATGGTGTGGCATTTCAGGCTTTGGCAACTCTGGCATCGCAGGGTGCGGCAGCTCGTGCTCCTTTGGCACCTCTGGCACGACGGGGTGTGGCGCTTCAGGCTTCTTTGGCACCTCCGGCACGACAGGGTGTGGCAGATCGTGCTCCTTTGGCACCTCCGGAACGATTGAGTGTGGCGCTTGAGTCTCCTTTGGCACCGCAGGCACAATCGGATGCGGCAGTTCGGGCTTCGGGATCTCGGGCATAGCAGGGTGCGGTGGCAGGTCGTGCTTTGGCACCTCCGGCACCTTGGGATGTGGCACTTCCTTTGGCGTCTCCGGGACAGCCGGATGCGGCAGTTCAGGCTTCAGGAGCTCGGGCATAGCAGGGTGCGGTGGCAGCTCGTGCTTTGGCACCTCCGGCACCATGGGGTGTGACACTTCAGGCTCCTTTGGCGTCTCCGGCACCATGGGGTGTGGCACTTCGGGCACTAGAGGGTGCGGTGGTTCAGGCTTCGGCAGCTCGGGCACGGCAGGGTGCGGCGAGAGTTCGGGCTTTGGTAGCTCTGGGACGATCGGATGTGGTGGATACTGCTTCTTAGGCACAGCCTCCTCTAGGTGCCGTGCTGCACTGCTCATGGAGCTGCATGAGAGCAGCAGCGCCACAAGGAAGACAAGGGAGGCCATGGTATTCTTGCACAGCATGGTTGAGGCCGTACGTGTGTGCTTCTGGTTCTTGGTGTGATGGCTGGGAGATAGAAGAAGGCCGGTATTTATAGCCAAAATGCTACACCCTACATGCAGCCGGGCGGGTATACATGCATGCATATGTTTGCGGTAGACGCTTGTAGCGCTCTGACTCAATTTTGGTGCCTTGCTGGCCTGCAGGTAGGTCACCTGCATCTCGGTGGTTGTTTACTCACTTCTCTGCCTATCCATCTCTAGTTATGTGTAGTTAAATTAGTTTGGAATATTGAGGAGACATGAGTGATGACATGATATGGTCGGTGATACATTTCAAGCTCTAATTGTTTGTTTACTTTGCTCTAAAAATAGTCTCTAAGATTGTACCAGAACCTGCTGTCCAAATGTAGCATATGAATACATGCTACTCAGCCTACGCACCGAGATATCCTGTGCTACGGCGAACATGAACGCAAGTGTTTTTCTAAACGAGTACGCAAGTGTTTTCTGGACGATTCGGTAATTGGTCGCTCGGTTCAGCAGCGCAGCTGCACCTATCTCGTCGACCTGGCTGATCTCCTGAAGAGGCCATACATTAGTCACTAGTCAGAGTTGGCCGTTTGGTGATGGATTGAGCGCGCACGCGCTCGCATAGGAGCGTCCGTCGCCGTACCGCGGTGTCAGGTCACTCTGGCGCACGGTCGACCTGGTACGGCAGGTGTTAGGTCACCACTCACCAGCGAACGGCTGTGGTCAGGAAACGTCCCCGTGCCCTTATTTTGACATGTTTATTGCGGTGGTTGTGCTTGATTAGGGTTAGCTAGCTCCACGTCACTGAGCTCGAGATCGCATGCTATCATGTGGATGTGGGATGTGTCTTTCGGCAAGGCGGTTGCTTTGTTGCAGGTTGAGCAGAAAACGACTTGCGGGTATATTAGTTGGGAACATTGAGTGCAGATTAGAATACCTTCTCTCTTTTTTATCTAATGAGCAGACTGCAGGTCAAGGACAAGCTGCTGAGATACACAGTAGTGTGATGAACTATATTTACCAGTATTTGAGTTGCTGACAGCGCTCACCACGCTGTGTGATGAACTATATTTGACTTCGCTAGTTCCGGATCGAGTTGAAAATGACCATCCTTTTCATGTTGGCGTGACCATTCTTCAAGCAACTTAAAGCTACCTAACTCCTTAGGTACCAAAGCCACACGCACACAAATATCTTCAGGTACTTCATTGTATTTCGGATCTATTTTTTATCATAAATTTAAGTTGTATGTAGCAAAAATAGTACTCCATCCGTCCCATAATATAAGAGCGTTTTTGACACTCCATTCAAAACTACTTCCAAATACAAATCTAGCAATACACATTTTATAACATAGTATTACTTGATACCGTGAATGCATAGCACTTTACCGAAAAAGGTTTTCGCCCCGCTTTATATTATAAAGCAAATGCCCAAGCCAAACATCCAACAAGGTTCAAACACACACACACACACAGAGACACACAGGTCTAGCATAGACAAGCAGTCAAAGGGTTAATGCTGAGGGCACAGCTCAACAAGCCCTGAAGAAACAAAAAAAGAACGCACGCGTGGGGTGCGGCATAGCATCTAGTCGGGCTCGGGGGGGAGGGGGAGCGGAGGGAGCGGAAGGCCATCGATCGAAGGTCGGCGAGGAGGTTGCTGATGACGTCCCGGTCCTGGGGGCGGCTAAGCGGCCGCCAGAGCTGCAACTATCCACACGTTTTAAAGATGGTGTCAGTAGCACGTCGAAGAGGCATCTTCTGTATGACAAGCTTATTGCGTACGGTCCAAAGCGTCCAGGCAAGGAACCCGACGCAAAGCCATCTAATATGCCTGTAGCGAGGGGGGAGGCCTGAATCTCCGCAAGCAGGTCAGGGAAGTTGGTGTTGCACCACTGGCCCCCAACCGTCTCACGGAAACAGGACCAAAGGGACTATGCCGTGGAGCACGAGAAGAAGATGTAGTTGGCATCCTCCACCATGCCGCACATGGGGCACATCCCATCCCCAGGTCCATTACGCTTAAGGACCTCTACGCCGGACGGGAGGCGGCCTCGGATCCATTGCCACAGGAAGATCCTGATCTTCAGGGGCAGGCGGATGTCCCAGATCAAACTGAAGGGCTCGGGGGCCGTCGAGGGGGCGATGGCCGCGTAGAGGGATTTGGTGGAGAAGCAGCCGGAAGGTTCCAGGTGCCAAGAGATGGCGTCCGGGGTGTCGGCGATGTCCATAGGGAGGAGGGTGATGTCCTGGAGGAGGACATCCCAAGCGGCTACTTCAGGGGGGGCAAAGGGGCGGCGGAAAGCGAGGCACCCTAGGTCAATAAGGGCCGTCTCGACAGAGACCCGAGGGTCAACAGCAATGGCGAAGAGCTCCGGAAAACACGCGGCCAGGGGGGTGTCGCCAAGCCACCTATCAAACCAGAACAGGGTCGAGGACCCAGTACCAACCAAAATGGATGTGCCAATGCGAAGCACGGGCAGCAGCTGGACGATGGCCTGCCAAAACTGGGAGCCGCCTGAGCGCTGACAGAATGCGAGAGGCTGTCCACGAAGGTACTTGTTCTGGATGATAGTGAGCCAAAGTCCTCTATCGCCATTGGCAATGCGCCAGAGCCAACGGGTCAAGACGGCAATGTTCATGCGTCGGGAGGACAAGATCCCAAGACCACCCTAGTCCTTGGGTTTGCAGATATCTGGCCAGCTGACCATGTGGTACTTCTGCTTATCCCCCTCCCCATCCCAGAAGAATCTGGATTGGTATTTGGCGATCTCCTGATGAAGGGTTTCATGGAGGCTATAGAAGCTCATGAGAAACCATAGAAGGCTGGCAAGCGAAGAATTGATAAGGATCACGCGAGCAGTCTGCGACAACCAACGCCCTTTCCAGGGCTCAACGCGATGTTGCATACGGGTCACCGTGGGGCGAAGATCGGCCACGGTGAGGCGCGAATCACTAATGGGGATCCCCACGTAAGTCGTGGGGAAAGAACTCAACCAACAATTTAGTCGGTCAGCAATAGCTTGTGCTTCCTCCAGGGGGTATCCGAGAATCATCACTTCGCTCTTATCGAAGTTGATGGTTAGGCCCGACATTTGTTGGAAGCACAGGAGGAGGAACTTCAGGTTAGCAATATCTAGAGCGGAGCCCTCCACCATTATTATGGTATCATCCGCATATTGAAGGAGGGAGACCCCTCCCCCTCCGACTAGGTGGGGGACGATGTCGCGATATGGCCAGCGTCCTTGGCCTTATCCAGGATGGATGCTAGGGCATCGACCACCATGTTGAACAAGAACGGCGAGAAAGGGTCACCCTGACGAACCCCACAGAGGATGGGGAAGTAGGGCCCAATGTCACCGTTGATGTTCACTGCGGTCCGGCCACAGGAGACAAGCTGCATGACGCGAGTCACCCAACGGTCGTCGAAACCCTTACGAAGCAACACTTTCCGCAAGAAGGGCCAGTGGACCGTGTCGTATGCTTTGTGGAAGTAGCTTTAGAAAGACTGCGCGATGGCGTTTTAGAAGACAAGCTGCATGGCGCTTTAGGAAAAGTACGTTAACCGAAGCTACGTAACAAAAGGACTATATATTATTAACTCTTTCTCGTTTTGTTATACATTACTTTCGGCGTCACGTTTACTCCCCATATAACAACAAGATTATCTCTCGCAAAAATAAGTAAGTTATAATTTATGCAAAATAAACAATTGGAAATAACAGTCACTAACTTCATTGGCACACCTTGTTGTTTAGACCCCAATTGGAACATTTTCGTTAATCAAATGGGTGAAAAACTATACTTTGTAAGTACCTTTAATGAATATATTTTTATTTTTATTATGCTGGGATATAACAACATAATGCTGCGTGTATTTTTTTAGTTGTTGCAACAAAGGTTATAAAGATCTGTAGATGTCAGATAGGTTAAATCTATTGCCCACGAAAAAGATCTCCTTCTTTTGTTCGTTGAATGAAATTTAAACTTGCTTACCATCCAATATTTCTCACCTCCTTATTTGTTTTGGAACGTGAAAATGTTTCCACCATTCACATCAACTTTGGCTAAGAAAAACCACCCGGCATGAAAGGTGAGCTATATAAAAAAACTTTGGCTAAGAAAAAGGAAAAAAACGGCCTATTTTGTATAGAAAAATAGGCATCCGCCTTCGAGTTTTTGCATGAACATCTGGAAAAAAAATACCCGTAAAAAACTTATTTGTAAAAATAAAATCACCCATAGTATATAGGTGATGTTTTGGACTTATGTCTAGAAATTTATTAAAACTCTGACTGTTGATATCGTTTTAAATAATTATATAGAAACTTCCAAAATCATATGTGTAGATTTGTCAAAAAGTATTTTGAAAATATCTTTTTTTAAGGAAGTTGCTCTGTGGATTTCAAAGGCAAAAAGTTGTAGAATGACCAGGCTTATTAAGGAAACCAGACCGAAAACCAAAAAAAAGGGTAAACAACACCGCTAGGCGTTGACCAAGCTAGACCACCAGCATCAACGTGACCGTAGCCCGAGGAGTAGTGAGCAGAATCTTCGGAAAACGCCTCCAATAAGGAAAATAACGTCGCCGTCACCAACATTGACCCCTGTTGAAAACCAAGCTTTCGCCCTGAACTGCTCATAACCATCCAACCAAACTTTGGGGAAGAGTCCGGTAACACAAAAAAAGCCAAGCTTTCGAGCTCGTTTTGGACTGTCAATTAATGTCCAAAGACATGAAGGGAATAGTTTGTTTAAGACTTAAAAACTAGACGCAAAAAACAAACAATTTTATTGTCTGAAGCGCATAATGTAGCAAAAACATAAGAAGTCTTTACTCTTTAGTGATGGACATAAGTAAATCGGAACACAACTGCAATCTGAAACTCCAAACACAAATATATTTATTCATGTGCATATCATATACATCGTGCATTTACATAAAAGGAACAGATTGAACAGTTGCACCATGCAATACCACTCAGACATAACGCTCTCGTCAGGAACTAGAGTGCGGGCTCTAACGGCACACACACACACACACACACACACACACACACACACACACACACACACACACACACACATGTATATAATATAGTTTAATAATACTTAGATAATGGGTACTGTGGGGATGAGCTAGTCCGATCATGGCTTGGTCTCTGGCTTTGGAAAATGGAACTCGGGCTTCGGGGGCAGCTCAGCTTTGGGGAACGGCGGCATTTCGTGCTTCGGGACCTCTGGCACAATAGGGTGCGGTAACTCGGGCTCCTTCAGCGCCTCAGGGTGTGGCACATGGGGCTCCTTCGGCGCCTCTGGCACGGCATGGTGTGGCATTTCAGGCTTCGGCAACTCTGGTATGGCAGGGTGCGGCAGCTCGTGCTCCTTTGGCACCTCCGGCACGATGGGGTGCGGCAGTTCGTGCTCCTTTGGCACCTCCGGCATGACGGGGTGTGGCACTTCAGGCTCCTTAGCCACCTCGGGCACATGCGGCACTTCAGGCTTCGGGAGCTTGGGCACAGCAGGGTGCGGAGGTAGTTCGTTCTTTGGCACCTCGGGCACCACGGGATGTGGCACTTCGGGCTCCTTTGCTACCTCAGGCACAACTGGATGCGGCACTTCAGGCTTCGGCAGCTCGGGCACAGCAGGGTGCGGCGGTAGTTCATGCTTTGGCACGTCGGGCACCATGGGGTGTGGCACTTCGGGCACGAGAGTGTGCGGTGGCTCAGGCTTGGGCAGCTCGGGCACGGCGGGGTGCGGCGGGAGTTCGGGCTTTGGCAGCTCCGGGACGATCGGATGTGGTGGATACTCCTTCTTGGGCACGGCCTCCTCTAGGTGCCGTGCTGCGCTGCTCATGGAGCTGCATGAGAGCAGCAGCGCCACGAGGAAGACAAGGGAGGCCATGGTGTTCTTGTCTATGTGTATCGATCAGAGAGAGGCAAGTTCTTGCTGTGATGTCTTGGAGATAGGAGAAGGCTGATATTTATAGCGCTCCAAAAGCCAAATGGAAAAAATCGCGGCATGCGGGTAGACATGCATGCATGCATCCATGCATGTAACTTTCAGTGGACAGTAGTTGCCTGGCTGAAACTTTTGGTGGGTTCGCTGGCAGATCACCTGCATTTCGGTGGTTGTTTACTTACTTCTGTTTTGTGTCTAGCTAGTCATGTGTGGTTAACTTGGTTTGGAAGAGACGTGAGTGTACCAGATATGGTGGTGATACATTTCAATCTCTAACCTGAACAGATATCGCTACACAGCGAACCTGAACGCAACTGTTTTGGGGATGATGATTCGGCGATTGGTCGGTTCGGCTTCGGCAGCTCAGCTGCAACTATCCGGCATTCCGGCTGATCTCCTGAAGACGCCACACATCAGTCAGAGTTGGTGGATTACGCGCGCACGCGGTCGCGTAGGCGCGCCCGTCCGTCGCCTCATACCGCGGTGTCGGGTCACCGGCGCACGGTGGCCATGGTACGGCGGGCGTTAGGTCACCGCTAACCAGCAAACGGCTGATGCAAGTTAATTTCAGGGGCTATGGTCAGGAAGCAGCCCCGTGGCCTTGTTTTGAGATGCTGCAAATGGAAGCAAGCCTGGACGCTTCTGAGCCTTTTTCTGGCATCTGTGGGGGTTGTGGTTGATTGGCGCTCCACGTCGCCGGGACTGGAAATTAAGGACATTATATGTCACAATCGTGTGTAGTACTCCCTCTGTAAAAAAATATAAGACATTTTAAGGAGTGCGTCGATTTGGAGCTCGGGCTCAGCTGCACCCATAATCTGCGTCGTCCGTTGCAGTCTTGGGATTTGGAGAAAGCCAGCTGGCCTGTCCTGTGCGAGCGTTGGTAAATGGAGAAAACCTCCCAATACAGTATGGAACAGTGCACCGTAAGTGGGGCTGGCCCCCCGCGGTCGAACGGACGTCGCGGGTAGTCGGAATGGGCCGTGGACCAGGAACGTGCAATCCTGAGTAGGCCGTGGACCATGACGTTAGCTTTTCTAGTCTGGGCCTGGATCAGATAAGGAGTGCAAGATGGATTACGCTGTCTGAGCCGCTTGTCGGCCGCACCCCGTCCGTGTGTTATGAAAAAATAGGAAAGAGATATCCCTTTCGGTGGTTCATTCTAGAGGCCCCTCGCCGCCGTCGAAGAAAAAAAGAAGGAGAGTTCGCCGAGGCTGCTGTCGCGGGTGGCGGCGCCGGTGCCGTCGACGGTGCTTGACCGTGAAGCTGGGTGCGGATGGACATCGAGGGAATGGAATTCCTACTGGATGCGGTCGACAGGTTCGTTCCCGTGCAGATCTGGTCCGTTTTTCTCCTAGGAACGACGATAGGATAAGCTTGATCTGTGAAAGATAACTAATCTTATGCGACTGATTCGCCGTTCTGTACGCAGGTTCCCCGTGTGGGAGGAGTTTGCCGACAACCTTGACCACATAGATCCAGTCCCGCTGATGTACCTTCTGGATAATGGGGCTGCTAATCAGGATATTCGCCAGGGGGATGTTGATTCCGGGATAACTGAGATGGTGTGCGATGGTGTGCTCACCGACGCTCAGGTAGGTGGCCAGCGTAGGCGTGATGAATCTCCGACGAGGTCTGCCCAGTCGACGGGAAGAGTAAATCCGCAGGCCCCCGGCTGGACTAAAAGGTGAGGCTCCGACGACGACCATCTGTATCTTCTGTTACTGCCGTTACAAGTAGG